GACATCCCAACCCCTGATTGGCTGTCCGGCCAGCATCGTTTCGGGATGTGTCCGCCGCCGCCATTGCGCGGCGCTAGTCCGCTCGGAGGGTTCCGGCTGCGGCCGATTCCTTGGCCTCTCAACCCAACCGGGCGGGTCCGGGACTCCGGTCCGTGTCGGTGCGGGCGCCGGCATGTGGCTGTGGGAGGAGCAGGGGGGCCTCCTGGGCCCTTTCTCCTTCCTGTTGGTGCTTCTCCTGGTGGTGACGCGCAGCCCCTTCAATGCCTGCCTTCTCACCGGCAGCCTCTACGCGCTGCTGCGCTTCTTCAGCTTTGAGCCAGTGCCCTCCCGCAGGGTCCTGCAGGTGCTCAAGCCCGGGGACCGTATTTCCGCCATCGCCCACCGCGGCGGCAGCCACGACGCGCCCGAGAACACGCTGGCGGCCATTCGGCAGGTGAGCCCCCCACGCCTCGCGCCCCTCGGACTTACGCTCGTCCTTCCAAGGCCCGGGCTGCTTCTGACAGCCTTACCGGTGCCCTAGTCGTCCGCAAGGAACGCTCCCCGCTGCCCCTTGGTTCCGCCCGATTTCTAGGAATCTGCTGACTTCGGGACTTAGAGAATACAGCAGGTGTTTGTATAGTTACTGCAGACACAAGAGGTTACACCTGTAAACAGGACAGATAGGATCTGTACGTCGGAGTGGAGGACACAACTCCCAAGTGAATACTTTAAGTGAGCAAAAAAATGAAATGAGATGTTGTAATGAGATAAAAAATTGGGAGGAAGGAGTTAAATACTGTGGCTGAAGAAATTCTCTCTGAAGTGATATTTGTACATGATGATGACAAGGAACCAAACATGCAATATATGGGGAAAGTGTTCCAGGAAAAGGAAGCATCAAATGCAAAAGTCCTGAGGTCAGAAAGGAGTTGGAGTGTTTATGTAATAGAAGTGGTCTAACAGAAGTAAGTGACTTGAAGGAACAGAACAAAATCCCGTATGTGAATGAAATAGGTAATGGGCCAGATCGAACAGGTCTTGGTCAGTAAATGAGTTTATTCTATATGGATCACCCATCTCTGAAAATGTCTTTGCTTGTCATTTAAATTACTTGGTCCACCTATCAATTTTCTTCTCTCTCTCTCTCTCTCTCTCTCTCTCACACACACACACACACACACACACACACGTACACATACACAGCCCTGACAGCTACACTCCTGATAAGTTTGCCACAAGACATTCCTGAAGTTACTATTATCACCCAGCTCTTGGTGGTCTCCTGACTTCATTATAGAGTTTTTCAGTGAATTAAGCATTTTGGCTCTGGTTTCTGTGGGTTTTGCATTCATTGATTGAACTACCTGTGGATCAAAAATGTCCAAAAGCAAATTACACCTGTAGTGAACATTACAGTATAACAACTGTTAATGAAGCATTTATATCATATTAAGTATTATAAGCAGCTGGGCGTGGTGGCACACCCCTGTAATCCCAGCACTCAGGAGGCTGAGGCAGGAGGATCTCTGAGTTTGAGACCAGCCTGGGCTACATAGTGAGTTCCAAGTCAGTCTCAACTACATAGTGAGACCCTGTCTCAAAAAAAAAAAAAAAGTATTATAAGCAATGCTTTTTAAAACTATATGGAGCCAGATGTGGTGGTGCACAGCCTGTAATCCCAGCACTTGCAGGCTGAGGCAGAGGCAGGAAGATTCCAAGTTCAACCCCAGCCTGCACAACTTAGTGAGAGTCTGTCTCAAAATAAAAATGGGTTTGGGATGTAGCTTTACGAAGGTCCTACATTCATAGAACCACAAAAGAAAAATCAAGAGATAAGAAAAGAAAGACGGAAAAGAGAAAAAGCATACAGGAGGATGTTCTTTGTATACAATATATATGAATGCTGTACTTTTTTTTCTTTTTTGGAAATTGAATCCAGGACCTTTAGAGTGAGCTACATTGCCAACCCTTTTTATTTTTTAAGACAGGGTCTCTCTAAGTTGCCCAGGCAGGGTTTGAACTTGCCGTCTTCCTGCCTCAGCCTCCCAGAGTTCTGGGATTATAGTTGTGAACCACTGCACCTGGCTACACCAT